ATATATATATATATATATATATATATTTTAATTTTTAATTATATATTATTTTCTTTAATCTGGTTTTATGTAGTGTAAATATTGTGAAGTAAAACAGTACATATTATTTTACATATTTTCCACAAATGTATGTATGGATTTTTTTATTTTGTGTGTTATGATTATTATTATTATTACTATGATTCTTATTGTGTATAATAAGTGAACTTGTGTGTATATCCTACAAGTGGTTTTGTTTTATATAAAGATTTGTTGTATATTGTGTTTTTACGTAAAGGGTTTTATGTTGTTTTTTTAATTATATATACATTTTCTATTTTGTACTGTTGAAGTGTGTTCTATTTGGTTTATTCTTTTCTAAATGTATTTTATAAAGGATTTTTTGAATTTGTTTTTAGTGTGGTAAAGATTTGTAATTCTTGCTGTTTACTTGTGTGTGTTTTAATTTAATTTCTATTATATTATGCTTGTGGGCTCACTTTATTTTGTGTTTTGATAATGTTTTGCCATTGTTTTGTACAGTATGCAGTTTGCTTTTACATTTCCTGTTTCAGGTTTTAACTATCAGTGTAGGGTGCATCAGTTTCACAAACCTGATGTAAAGTTTGTTTTATTTTATTGTAAAACTACTGGATAAAATAGTTTGAAACTGCAAAAATTTTCTATAGATTATGTTGCCCCTGCAAATATCATATTTTCATATATGATAATTGTAAGATTTTGCACCTTTGAAATTTGAAAACGATTAAGAAAAAATGAAAATGTTAACTTTTGTTGTAAATATTAATTCCTGATTTTTATCTCTTCTATTCTTTTAAAACTCTTCTATAATGTTTGTATTTTATGAAGCTATATATTTTATATATATTACATGCAACTTTATTGTTCAACCCTATGTCCTCTGGTGCCTTTCTGCACATGGTACTGCATTATATTCAAAATTTAATTAAACCACTTTACTATCAATATATGTCAATAAAATTAACATTATAATGTATGTTATAATTTGAATCGTTATGTTATTTAAGCTATAATTCCTTTGTTTCAAAGGAAATCTTTTAAAAAAATACTTAAACTGCAGTTTTTGTGTCATGTGATTCATGCACTATGGAAAATCTCAACTTTAGCAGCGGTTTACTCTTAGTGACATAAGCTGACAATGTACATGAGTGTGTATGAAGCATTTGTGGGTATTTAAGTAATGAAATTTATTGAAATGTATTAAAAATTATGAAAAATATGTATATTATAAGAAGTTCTATGCAAGTCTAGGCAAGACATGCATACACGCTATAAGAAGATGTTGAGCAACGCAGATGAAGGACAGTTATATAATGATGGTGGACTGAGGGAGAAAAAGCAAGTCTATTACAAATTAAAGACTTTTCTAGAATTAAATATTACTAAATTGATGCTAGAACACTGTGAGAATGCCTATATGAAGGACAGTCATGAGATGGATATCTATAGACTGATGCCCTGATAGCAGAGAAAAAGCTACAGAAAAGTTTATGTCAAAGGGAGGAGTCGGGACTCTGATGTGGGATTGATGTCAAGAGAAGCGATGAGTTGTACAAACAAATAGGGTGTCGATTTACTGACTCTAACTGCAACCAGTCATTAAAGAGTTATGGTTTTGGTTCTGAACAGGCTGATGAGTTTGCAGAAATTGTCCAGTAAAGTGTCAGACCTATTTGCAGGTGGATATGTATACTGTTTGGACCCTCGCAAGAATCCAAGAAAACTTAATATAAAAACTCATGTGTTGAGCTGAAAAATAATTTTTCTTTTAAGATCTTGTGATCAGATAACTTATACAAGTCTCCAAGGACCAAGAAAGATAGAGCTAAAGCAGTTTTCAAGATGTTGAAGCATTCAAATGTACAATATTGCCCGAACACCATCTCAACATTAATGTGAATTTCCAATGCTAGTTCTCTCAATTGAGTAGTGTAGTTAAAACACTTGTGTAAAAAGATATAATGTTAAAGGAGAACTTATATGGTAAAGTATGTCAGAATATTAACTAGTAATAGTTTAACCGAGAAACATTTAAGTATAATAGAAGAGTTGGAGAGAATTGTAACAGAGTTGATGAGTGAAATATCAAAAATTGTATGTGTTGTTGAAACCTCAGTCTCATTGTCAATTCTTTATTCTAACTGTAAACTCCTTTGAGTTAGTGACTTGTGTACTCCACTTGCAACTGTATTTAATATAAATCTATTGTGACTGGCCTATCTGGCCACCCATTACATGTAGATGTAAAGTACGTATGTTTGACCTATTTGACATGTGGTATCTAAAATCTGTAACTGCTTTGTCTGGGAAACAGCTCTAAATTTTCCAACCCTTGACTAGTGCGATGCCCATCTTCTCTACTTTGCCTTGAGATCTACAACATACATGTAGTTAGTAGACACAACTGTATATAGTCGTTATAAAGAGCTCAATCTACACTATACTCCACCAACGGTTAATTTGAAATTGGTGCTCAGTTTCCTTACAGTGTACATATAACTGCTGTTGATATTGTTATCTGCTTGATCAACTGTGGCACTAATGGTGGCTTCTTACCTAAAAATGCTATAGTTAGAGAGACAATTAAATTGTATTTAGGTCTTTTATATTTTAGTTAATTATGTACAATTTGTGTTTTAAAAATCATACTTGAAAGGTTTAATGATTTTTTTATAAGTTTAACGTGTTGTCACCTGGATTGTAAAAGTGTATAAACAGGATGGTATCATCCGAATGTGCAAAGCATTAGTGAAACAAGTCTATCTGTGGAAGTCTCTGTATAATAATAATAATAAAGCCCAAGGGTACTAGTTGATGTATTGGTATAAATAATAAAAGCCAAAGAATTGGAAAGGAAAATTAAAAATAAACTAAGTTAAAAGATAAAGACATGAAGTTATGCATATTAAAAATCAAGTTTCTGCAAAAAGCTAAAAAGTATTTACATATTTCCATTTCTTAATTTAAAACATTTCATTGCAATGTATATTGATGATAATAGGTAGAAGTAATGTAGTAGAGAAAACTGAAAATAAAATATAAACATTTACCATATAAAAAAAACTTTTGATATTCATTTAGGAGGTTCTAAGAGATTATGTACTTTCTTGTGGGAAAGATTCCTCAAAAGTGGAGCATGCTGTATAGACATAGACCATAACAGTTTTGACTGAACAATTAGGTGATACCTCAAAGTTTCAACATCCCTTATTTTGTAGTGTGAGTGTTCTCCATCTTGCCTGCATCTTGATAGGAATGGAATTGTTTTTATATGTAATGCCATGTTTTCTCTGTATGAAAGATGATGGTTTTAGAGAGAAAATTATTAGATTTTACTACATATAGACTTGATGATATTTGAGTTCTCTAATAAAGGTACCAAAATGATGCACTTGTTTTAAACCATGATTGTTTGATGGAGATAATATTTCACTGTGTAATACATTGTGTCCAGTCTCTCTGTTTGCTTCAGACTCAATTTTGTTTTACTAAACATTTTATAGTGAGCCTCCAGTTACTTGCAAGTAAATCTATGAATTTGAGAATACCACACTAGTTTTGTTGCATTGTATGTAAATCTTATATAAATTGTGTGATGTATATAAATGACATAAGTATATAATCATGCTTAAGAATACCAAATATGTTACACATAATTCTTACAGATCTTGAAACTAGAGAAAAAGCTGCCAGAGAAGAAGAATTTGGAAGTGTAGATCCAGCAAAAACACTTCAAGAAGAGGTAAATAGAAAAAAATTTCTAATATTGATGATAGTTTTAAGAGGAAGTATAGCAAAATAATTAAACGAAAGTTGAACACTTTTAAGAACATTTTATTTAAGCTAACTTGTTTTTCAATTACAATTTTAAAACAGGCAGACTTACCTCTGAAGTGCAGTAAGCCTTTCCTTGTTGAAATGCTCTCATGCTGTCAACACACATGACTAAATTCTGGATATCCTTGCAACAATTTTGAGCTTGCATCCAACTACCCATATTTCTCCACCCTCCCACCTTCCATGTAACTTATTGCATGAGGGAGATGTAAATAAGTTCTGCGTCCCTTCTATAACCTAGATTTTCTTGTTGACAGTAACCTTGATAAGTTTGTTAAAATGAATTTGAAAGTCAGTGTTAATTCTGAGGCAAATATTTCTAACAATATTGGAACGTCTACAACTTCTTTAGAGGCCTTATGCAGTTTTCCTCTGGGTGTAAGGTGATTCTATGGTTGCATTGTAATCCCATATGAATGTATTTGGGCTATCAGTGCTGAATTTTCTGCTGGTGTCCCTGGCAGCTATTATGATCATGAGTGCAAATTTCATAGAAGCCCTAATCTTGAAGAATTTTCTGCTATTCCCTCTCTCTCAGGTATCTTCTGATTTAAATCTTGGACCAATTATGTTACACCTGTGTGTGTTAGTATGTCAGATAATTCAATCCTTCAGTCTTCATTTCTTCCATCTAGTCCTGATATGTGGGTTGTTACTGATGTTTTTTTAGAAATAGCAAATTATAAGAAGACTTGGCTATTAGATTACGGTGAGTTCTTTGATACACTGTCAGTTTTCTGCCCTGCACAAAGCCCTGATTGGCCTTGGAACAAGACTTTCTTCTGTTGCACATTGATTACCTATCAGCTGTTCCTGTTCTGGTTCCTTTAGTCAGGATCAAATATCTATTTTGTAGTCTTCATTAAATATGGGTCTCAGTGATTTGTTTCTATTACCACTGACTCTTAGGTTTTTTTGTAACTTTAGCCCATCATGCTATGTTCCCCATCTTTTCAGCTGACCTTAAAAGAGCTTTTGGTTTTTTTCCATATCATTTTATTTTTACAGTTATTTCACCCAAACTTGTTTTCCATTCATTAAAAGCATGCCAGTAGTAAACGTGGATTAGGGTTTTAGTATTTTGTTTGGTTTCTAGTTGTCATTTCTTTTGAAAAGCACCAGCAAGTAATGTTCATCCTCTTCTTCTTAGCTGACACCTTCTACATCTACATGTATCTTTCACTTCTTTTGAATGGCTTATTGTTGGAGTAGTGAGGTGGGGCTTTTAGATTTGCTCATTAACCTTTCTTTTCTGGATAACTCTTCCATCCAGACTTTTTGGAAGTCATCTCAGTTCATTTGTGGGATCCTAGGCTTTGAAATCTTTGGGTTTGACAGATCCTTCAGTTTGCTCTTTACTTTCAGTTTTGTCTTCCTCCTTCCATTTTTTCTCTTTGTTTTTATCCTGTTTGCTTACAAGTTCTGGATTGGGAAAATTAGGGTCTTACAAAAGGAGAAATAGAAATTGTTTATCACACTTTTCCAGGTTTTTACTCCCATCTCTTTGTAATTTCAAAGAAAGTGGGAGATCGGAGAAATATCATTGACTTAACTCAGTCTTTATATAGATACACTTCATTTCAAATTAGAAGAAAGCATGAAATATTTTCACTTTCAAGGCCATTGGAATTTAAAAGTGGATATATATATATATATATATACAATGCTTAATAATGGCTGGAGACGGCTTGAATGGGTAA